TCTCGCTTTCTCGATGGTGTGTGTCCTTTGAAGCACAAATGTTCTGATGCTGCTGAATTCCCCCTTTGCTATTTCATCTTTGGCTCCTGTGCTTTGGTGTCATCTAAGCGGCTCACTGGGGGCGGGGCTCACACCGTTGGAGCCCCTCGTGGTTCCTCCAGACGCTTCACCTTCAGGTTTTCTCTGAGACGGTTTGAGGAGGCAGTTTACGTAGGGAAGCTGCCCAGAAACAGTCTCGGCCTTAGGGAGCTGGGAGGCCCTCCCCTGGCCGCCCACGCCCTGAGAGCCCGCTGAGGACGTGAGGAGCAGAGAGGAGGTTTGGCTTGTGTCCTTTCAAGGGCCCGCTTTCCAGCACTGTGGGAAATGAGCTCATGACGGTGGCAGCGCAGGTCCAGCAGCCCCTGACGCCGAGGCCGGGCTGCGCTCGCCGCCTTCGTCCTGACCGGTGGCCCGTGGGCGGGGCCTCGCCGAGGCGGCTCTCTCCCATCTCGGTCTCCTGGGCGTTTGGGTGATCCTGCTGCTTCCCCCGCACTGGGCTGGGGGGAGGTGCCGCGGGCTCTGGACCATCGTCACAGCTCCCTGGAGCAGTTGGTGTTGCAGGCTGGCAGCCAGTGGTCTCGCCCCTCGGCCTCTGCCTTGTGCACGGGACCCGGCAGCAGTCGCTCTCCCCACGCCCACCCGGTCCTCCCGGCGCTTCCCAAAGCCCTTCCCTGAAGTGAGAGCCGCCTTGGACGGTGGGTGAGATGCTCTCGCGGCCCCTAGCACGGCCTGCCCGGGCCTTTGGTGCAGAATCTGGCAAAGGGGAGCCGCTGCCTGCAGGTCCACTCTGAGACTGGCTGCTCTCCCAGCACACAGAGCAGCTCTGCACACCCGCCGCCGCCTGGTGCAGAGGTGGAGCGGGGGGTGGGGAGGGGATGATATAGGGGTGCAGGCAGGTATGTTGCACAGCAGGGCTCGTGCCTCTGGAGGACACCCCCAGCTCTGTGCGAGCTTCCCGTGGGGCTTCCCGCTCACCTGGAAGGTGTGCGCTCACAGCCGAGAGGTGGGGACGTGGCCCCTCGCGTTGATCTGTGGAGGCTGCTCTCTGCCTCCAGGGAGAGGCTGGCGCTTTTCCTGTATCTGCTGGCTGGGCTGGGTCAACCCGGGGTCCGGGGGGCAGGGGGTGACACCGAGACTGATGTCCTTCTAACAAGTGGACGACCAGGGTCTGGCGGCTGGACAGTGCGTGTCGCTTCCTGGCTGAGCACAGTGCCCGGCCGGACCCTCATCTGGGCCTGGTCCCCGAGGTGGCAGAACTCCCGCCCCCAGCAAAGAGTCGGGGGAGCCAAGTGTCGTTTCCTCCGTGGGGCAGGTCTTCCGTCCAGGCCGTGCTCCTTGGTCAGCGGCGCAGGTCTCACTGGGTGGATGCGCCCACCTGGCCCCCCAGCCACATCGTCTAGTGCTGTTGGACCAGAGGGCGTGTGGGGACCAGCCGCCCTCAGCCCTGCAGGGCAGTGGGCATCCTGGCCTTAGGCCCCAAGGCCAGAGGGGACGCCTCTGTGCTGCGAGAAAACAGACCGATCCAGCCCGGGGAGAGGGGTGGTTACCGCTCTCCTCTGGCTGCCAAGTGCGCGGCCTGCACAGCTGAGCTTCGCATGTGCACGACCCTGAGCAGGTGCGTGTGCCCCCTGGGGGTGCAGGGAGGCCCCACATCCTGACGACCCGGGGCGCCCTGGACAGACGCCTGCCTCCATGCAGGTGGTGGATCTCAGGGCAGCGCGGCGCCCATCTGGGCGGGTGGAGCCCTGTCACCTGCACATCCCACAAGGGCTCGCGGATGCAGTCGTGGACCTGAGCAGGGAGGTGACTGAGTGGCCGCTTGCTCCAGCCGGGCAGCCGCCTGGGTAGCGCGCACTCCCACATGCTCCATGCCGGGCCCAGCCCGGGCAGCCCTGCTGCGCCGTGTTCAGGCGGCATCACCCTCAGCCCTGCCTGCGTGTCTGTGTTCGAGGCCTGAGTCTGAGCCTTCCTCTCTGAGCCCCGGGCCCTTTGGGGCTGGTCCTCCCCTTGCTGCTGGGCTTCTCTTGCTGTGTCCCGTGCAGGTTAGCGCTGGGCGGCTCTGTGCCCTGCTGGCCCCCGGCTCTGCATTGCGGTTAGTGGGATCCGCCCTTCTGTACTGCTAGGGTCGCCCCAGAGCTGGGAACGTGGGGGGTGGTATGCCCCAGCGCTCTGTGTGTGCGGACGTCACACCGTGCGCTCAGGCCTCAGCCCGGTGCCACGAGCTGCATCTGGAACGTTCTTTCTCCTTTCTTTCCTCCCCCACGTACGTTGTCGCTTTCTGTTTTAAGATGTCCAAGGTGTAGGGCATAAGAAACGGAGCGCGGCGTGGCAGGGCAGGCCCATGGGGTGGGGACTGCCAGCATCCAGGGGCTCCTGAGGTCCCCAGATGTGCAGGCCAGGGCCCAGCGTCCAGGCCCTCGTGCTGCCGGACCCTGGGGCTCTCAGTGCAGCGCTGGGGGTGGGGACTCAGAAACCCAGGGTGAGCTTCGTCTTCGATGGCCCAAAGCCCTCCTTCCACCCCTTCCCCACCTCTGGGCCTTAGCACAGGGTGTAGGCTGCTCCGCAGTGGGTCCAGGGCCTGCTGCCTGCAGGGAGGAGCCCCCCAGGTTTGCCTGGCTGGGCTGACCTGCAGGGCCTTTGGGGCTCAGGCACTAAGTATGGCCCTTGGGAGCACGAGGTGGGGGACGCTGGAAGCCCCCCTGGCCCGGTCTGCCTGCTGCTGTTGCACTGGTCTCTGGCGGTGGCCACAGTCCCAGCAGCCGTCCAGACTCCACTCCACCCATATTCAGTGGGCCCCACGGTTTGGTGCCTCTGACTTGGCTGACACTTCTGGCCTGGCCGGACATGAAAGTCACAGGAGTGACAGCACTCCCAAATTGTACCCCCAAATCCTTGCAGACGTACACAGGTCCCTGGGTGACACACGGACCCCACAGTGGGGAGTGCCCTACGGGCAGACGCGTGTCCTATTCTCCGTGGTGACGGACACGCATGGCCGCTGAGCAGTCCTGGGTGGTGGCACTCTGTGGCGGTGGGGTGTCTCCTGGGACCCACGTCTTGGCGCTGTCCCTACAGGCTTCTCCGTCAGGCAGCACCCCCACCCCCGACGCCGGGGCATGTGCACGGGGCACGTGCTCCCACCCGGGTCCTCGAGTGTGGGGAAGTGACCACGGGCTCCCAGCCCCGCTGCCGGGGAGCGTCCTGGGCTTCGAGGGGCCCAGCGGGGTCAGGAGCCAGAGGCCACAGGCTCACCTCCTCGCACGGGGGGATGTGCGGCCATGGCCGCGCACAGCTCTGTCCCCGACTGCCTGCTTTCGCCGGCCCGTCCTTCCCAGGGCTTTGAGGAGGCCGCACTCCCTCGGGGCCCTGGCAGCCCCGCGCCCGCCCAGCCTCGGTCCACAAGCCCCTCTTCCGCTGCTTGCTCGCTTTCGTAACCGGTCGGCTGCGCTTCATGGAAGGCGCACCGGGGTCTGGAGTCTCAGGGGCTGCTCGGCTTCCCGAGTTGTCTCCCCGCGTCCTGGGTGGACCAGGGCTCGGGGTGAGGCGGGGGCAGGAGGCTCCGGCCCTTCTCCCAAGTGGGAAGCCGCCCCTGCCGCGCGGCTCATCTGACACCCGCCACGAGGCTCCCTGAGGTTTCTCGGAATCGGAGGAGCCCGCGGGGCCGCTGTGGCTTCTCTCCCTTGAGAACTGGGCTCAGACAGGAAACCCCACCCTTGTGGGTGTCGCCCGGTCTAGGCATCACCACGACTCCTTTCCCCTGAAAAGCAGCACCAAGTGGGTCTTTCTTTCCTGAGTGTTTTCAGGTCTGAGCAGATGGTCCCCGCTGTCTGTGGGACCCCCGAACCGTCTCCTGGGGCTGGGTGGGCAGGCTGTTGGTTGGGACAGCTGCCCTGTGTGGGGACCGACCCACAGGTATGGGGCCCGAGGGCTACACGTTGCCTGGAGCAGAGTTAGGGAGCCTGGCTCCTTGGCTGCGGGGTCAGGGGCAGCCCCCTGCGCACACACCCACGCGTGCTGGCTCCTTCACCCTGGGGGGCCTGGCCCAGCCTGCCCCCTGTCTCTTGAGTTCTGTGGTGATGGCTCTGCTGACCCTCGGGTCAGTTCTGGGGTTCAGTATTCTCCAAGTGGCCCTTGGGGCAGAAGGAGCCCCTCCCCCCCATCCACCCCACCCCTCCTGAGGTCAGGCCTGGGGGTGATGGGCACTGTCCCCCAGCCCCTCGCCCTCAGTGGCCTCCTGGATGCACCCAGGCTCCGGCCGGGGCGGGGTGGGGGAGGCACCGTCCGTCCTCCAAAGACTGTTCTGTTTTCTTGGGGAGGGACCCTGTGTCCTCAGGACTCTGGTGCCAGCAGATGCGGGGGGAGTTTGACACCAGCCCAGGAGGCCACTTGGGCCACAGTGCCCAGCAGACACAACGCTCGGCTGCTGGGCCCGGGGTCACTGTCCCAAGCTTCCTTCCCTGACAGCAAGACTTGGGAAAGTCGAGGCGGCTTCCTTGCCAAGCTGAACACAGTTCATTTTGGGAATGTCCCTTCAGGCGGGGAGGGGGCACGGCCCAGGGCTGCCCTGCCAGCCCAGCGTGCAGCTGCCCCAGGCCTACAGGCAGTTTCTGAAGTTAGTTCCATGTGGTGAAATCCAGAACTCCGGGGGTGCTGCGTGGTGCCCCTGGGAAGCTCTGGGTGGTGCCGACAGGGCCCTACACTCGGCCAGCGAGCCTGCCCACCGGGCTGCCTCTTCCAGACCGGCGGTGGCCTGAGGGTAGGGGCAGGAGTCCCTCCTGCTGTCTTGCACCAGTGCCCGGTGGGCGTGTGTGCAGCACTGCCGTGGGGCCGGGCCTGCCCTGGGTGATGAGTCGGGCAGGGTGTACGCGTCCCTGGACACGCCTCGTGCTCAGCTGCGTCTGAGACTGGGCCCTGGGGGACCCCTCACAACCTGCCAATGGGAACTTCTGTGTTGCTCACAGGTCTCCGAGCCCCCGGCCTCCGTAAGAAAAGCAGACGACGCCCCCTCCCAGCACCCCACACCCTCCGAGAAGGACAAGCAGTCTGGCTGGCTGCGGACTCTGGCCGGCTCCTCCAGCAAGGTGCCGTGGGGCCCGGGTGTGCGGGGCGGGCGCGCGGGGCGGCCTGGGGCCCAGCCTCTGATGGCGCCTCTCTCCCGACAGAGCCTGGGCTGCATCCACCCTCGCCAGCGCCTCTCTGCCTTCCGACCCTGGTCCCCTGCGGTTTCTGCAAGTGACAAAGAGCTCTCCCCACACCTCCCAGCCCTGATTCGAGACAGGTGAGTACCGGCCAGCTCTGATGGGCACGTCTGCGTCCCAGCTCCGCCTGACCCTGCTGTGGGGTCCCGAACCAGTCGGGGAAGCAGGTTCCCGCTTTAATCATCACTGAGCTCGACGGGCACGTGGTCTGGAGGCTGTGTGTCAGGTCCCCAGCCCCCCGCTTGAGGCAGCTGCGGAAGTGCTGGTTCTTTGATGGCGTGGGGGGGGGGGTGGGGGGCGCTAGGATTTTCCGTGGCGTCTGGAGTTGGCTGCGCACCGTGCGTGGGGTGTGGCCTGTCCCACGTACGGTGGCCGGTCGCCGTGTTGCAGCTCCCCCAGGGCCCCGGGCTGTAGTGTCCGCTCCCTCGCGCGGTCCACGGGAGCCAGGGCCGCGATGGGAGGTGGTGTGCAGCGGGGGCGCGGGGGCGGGGCGAGGGGCCGCGGGGGGGGCAGATGCCGAGGCCCCGACGCCCGCCACACCCCTGCAGCTTTTACTCCTACAAGAGTTTTGAGACGGGCGTGGCCCCCAACGTGGCCCTAGCACCGCCAGCCCAGCACAAGGTGGCGAGCAGCCCGCCCTGCGCCACGGTCGTCTCCCGGGCCCCCGAGCCCGTCACCAGCTGCGTCCAGCCTCGGAAGCGGAAGCTGGCGGTGGACACCCCCGGAGCCCCGGGGACGCCGGCACCCGGGCCTGCCCCCGAAGAGGAGAAGGACTCGGAGGCCGAGGCCGAGGGGAGAGAGGAGCGTGAGTGCGGCCGCGAGCCTGCCCGGGCGGCGGGGGCGCTCCTCCCGCGGCGGCCCCTGCTGACCCGCGCCCCCGCCGCCTGCCTTGCAGTCGCCTCCTCGCTGTCCTCGCTGTCCTCCCCGTCCTTTACCTCGTCCGGCTCCGCCAAGGACCTGAGCTCCCCGGGCCTGCTCGCCCCGCCTGCGGCGCCCGGCGCCCCCGACGCCGCGGCCCCCGCCGACGCCCCGAGCAGCGGGCTGGAGGCCGAGCTGGAGCACCTGCGGCAGGCCCTGGAGGGCGGCCTGGACACCAAGGAAGCCAAAGAGAAGTTCCTGCACGAGGTGGTGAAGATGCGTGTGAAGCAGGAGGAGAAGCTGAGCGCCGCGCTGCAGGCCAGGCGCAGCCTCCACCAGGTGGGGCGGGCGGGGCCGGCGGGGGCGCGCGTGTGCGGGGAAGGAGCGGCGCGGCCCGCCGGCCCCTTGCGCACCGGTGCCGGGCCTCTCCGCCCGGGGCTGCTTCCTTTCCCGGCCGGGGCTGGAGGCCCTGCGGCTGTGCCGTTGGCCCCCTGGTCGCCTTGTGCGCCGCCTCGCGGGGGCGGGGCTGGCACCCCAGGGCTCAGCTGCATCCGCACCTCAGCCGGCGTCTGACACCCGCCCCCAGCACAGCACAGCCCTGCCAGCCCCGAGAGCCCCGTCTCCACCCCTCTCTCAGAAACCCGCACCGCTTCCCTGGTTCCGGTCGGAGGTGTGGCTCCCCACGTGCATCTTCATGAGCGTGTTGGGGGCCGGGGCTGAGACCCCAAAAAGGGCCGCCGCCTCTCCTTCTGGCCACGTAGGGTCCCCGGGGCCCCCAGATGGCACCGTGCCTGGGTGAGCCCCCTCCCCCGGCCGCAGGGGCCGCCCCCGGGCTGTGCACGGTGGGCACAGGAGGGCCGGGGCCGGAGAGGCCTGGCGCGAGGGCGCCCCTGAGCCGGCGCCCTCGCCCCAGGAGCTGGAGTTCCTGCGCGTGGCCAAGAAGGAGAAGCTGCGGGAGGCCACGGAGGCCAAGCGCAGCCTCCGGAAGGAGATCGAGCGGCTCCGGGCCGAGAATGAGAAGAAGATGAAGGAGGCCAACGAGGCGCGGCTCCGCCTGAAGCGCGAGCTGGAGCAGGCGCGGCAGGCGCGCGTGTGCGACAAGGGCTGTGAGGCCGGCCGCCTGCGGGCCAAGTACTCGGCCCAGGTACGCGGGCTGCCCGGGCGGGGAGGGCGCGTGCACCGTCCGTCGGCATCTCAGGGTCCCTCCCCTCCTCGCGGGGCCGCCCCGGGCGTGGGGAGCCTGCAGGCCGGCCTGGCCCTGCTGGAGCTTTGGGGTCCTCCTTCCACGGGGCTGTCCTGGCCCCAGGCTCTCCGCACCTCCGGTCCTGGGGGGAGGGCCGCACCCACACCCACACCCTCAGCCTCACGCACCATTAAAAGTCTCAGCCTGTCCCAGTTGGCCACCCTGCCCGGCCTGGGGTCGGGAGATGGGGTCCGGTCTCACGGCCATCTCCGCGGCCGGGGCCCAGGAGGCTGAGAGGTGCCCCGAGGCCTCCGCGCTCGGGACTCGGGTAGTTCCCCCACTTGGGGTCTCTGCGGGCAGGGTTGGTGCCGCCCGGGAATCTCCCCCAGGCCCTGCCAGCCTCACCAGCCCGGGCCCAGTGGGCGGCGGGCGGGGCGAGCCTGTGATGGGCCGGAGGGTCAGGCCGGGGCCAGGGCGGCGGCCAGCTGGGGAGCGGGCCCGGCTAACGCGGGGCATCCCCTTCCAGATCGAGGACCTGCAGGTGAAGCTGCAGCACGCGGAGGCCGATCGCGAGCAGCTGCGGGCTGACCTCCTGAGGGAGCGGGAGGCCCGGGAACACCTGGAGAAGGTGGTGAAGGGGCTGCAGGAGCAGCTGTGGCCACGGCCCTGCTCTGAGGCCACGGGCGGCGAGAGCACGGCCGAGCTGGAGCCCTAGCCGGACCCACTGTCTGCTGCGCGGGGCGGACGCCGCAGGGTGGGTGCGCGGGCAGGTGGGCGGCGGGGGCTGGGGTCTCCGTGCCGGCGGGGCCGCTCCCCACCCCCCCGCCCCGGCCCCCCCAGCCCCGGTCCATATAGCACAACATCTTACTGTGCCTAGAACCAAGCAAGTGTTTGGAACCACATACTTTTGGAATCCACTGCAAAATTTTCTACTGGCCAAGGTCAAGCGAGCAAGCCGGTCCCCAACTGCAGCCGGAGTCGAGGCCAGCTCGGTAGCTGCAGCTGGCCCTCCGCTTGCCGGATCGTTCTAACATTTACACTTTTGTGATAAGCTATTTAAAACCCATAAGGAGACTTGATATTCAAAGAAATCAACATGTTTTTTAATGACTAACTTTTAAAAGCCCCACCCACACGTGACGCCACCTGAGGACCCGCAAGGGAGCCAGGGTGGCAGCCGCCCTGCCCCTCGAAGCCATCACAGCTCATCTCGCGCCCGCGGCCGCGTGACAACACAAAGGGTTTTTCTCCAGAGTCTATTTTTTCAGCCACAAGGAACCCCGTCTCCTGTGCTGCCACCGGGAAGGGCACGGAGAGCACCGCGCAGGCACGATGAGCTGGAACACTGCCGCCTTACCCGCCCGCCGCTCCGGCCCGCCTTCCACAGGTGTGTCCGCAGGTGTGCTTGGAGGCGACGGGAGATGGGTCCGCGCTGGCTGGGCACACGCGCCCTCGACCAGGCAACCCTCTCAATTCGGCAAACGTTGCTCCTTCTGTTTGGGGACTGAGGCTGCAGCATTGGAACAAAACACAGCATTATTTCACTTTTTGTTTGTTCGTTCATTTAAACGTATATTTAGAACTGCACTTTGTCAAAAATCTTCCCTTCTCTTTTTATTCCCCAGTTAACTGAGGTTTTTACTTTCAAATACTGCAAACCGATTTATAGAGCATTCACATCCTAAGTGCTCAAGTGTTTAGAAACCCCTCTGGTGCTTGGTTGAACAAGGGAATCACACGAAAACGAAAATGCAAAAACTGAACTTCGGGGGGTAGTTCTGTGCCTTCCAGCATCTTGTACAGCAAACCCTGACTTGTCTTTTTACCCCCAAAATATGTCTTCAGTAGCTATTGAATCTGCCACTATCACAATGAGTTACTTGCATTTATTCCAAATAATCTCGTTTACTCTCAACTGTATGCGAATTGTATAAGGTTTCTTATGCCCAAGCTTGAAAAATGACTTCCCAGTAGACGAGGTGGCTGCCCGTCCTAAAATCATGGTATTTATTTACATGGAGAGATCTTACCAGAACCCTCTGCCCGACTCCGTTCCAGCACCCCGGCAGCTGCGAGCGTGGCCAGGGGTGGTGCCGCAACCGCCGAGTGGCGCGGAGACCGGGTGACGGCATCGTCGGTGGGGTTTTGCCCTGGGTTTACTGGGTGGGGGCCGGGTGCTGCCGGCCTCCCTTCTAAAGTGCAATGCAAAAGGGACATCGTGTATATGCAGCGTTTGTTTGGTTGTTGTTGTTTGTTTTTTGTTTTTTTTGTTTTTTAATTTTTTTGCTTCTGTTTTTCTTTGCAGTTATTAAATCTGTATGCATGGAATTTAAAACCTCTGCCATACGTATATCCACCGATGGGCATTATTACCGTGTCGTGTAGAGGGTCGGTTGTGTCACGCAACACTCACAATGCTGTGTTTAGCTTTGTTTTCCCAGAGTTGTGTTTTTGCGGTCATTTCTTCAAGGGAAAGTAAATGATTTAGTTGGAGCAAAGCGTTAAGCGTGTGTCAGTGTGCTTCTGTGCGGCTGTGCTCTGTTGCCAAGTCTGAAAATCCGTAGGGAGATCGCAGGGCCCCCGGGACCCGCCCGAGGCCACCTGCTTTGCTCCGTTTACTTTCTGAGTTTTTAGGCTCCAGAGGGAGATACGTTTTTCCAAGTTGCGAGTGGGGGCCGCTGTGCCTCCTCGCCCGCGCTCTGTCCCCTCCGGTCACCCGTACGTCTCGGCCATCGGGTCTACGCCACCACTGTCCGGCTTGGTCCCCAGATGTCGGGAAGAGCTGGAGGTGGGGTGGTGGACTCAGGCCCGCCCCGGGGTCCCTTGGCCTGCCAGCGCCGTTGGCGGCCCCTGGGCGAGGCCGGCTGTGGGGCTGTCCACGCTTGTCCTCGGGGTCAGGGTCCCCGGGCTCCTGCCGTGCAGCTGCAGTTGGAATTTCTTTTCTGAAGAGGCACTCTCCCGTAGGCTGTTGACTCTCCCCGTGTGTAATCCCCATTATCGAAATGATCGTGTATTCAGTTTAATCACTCATTATTTCTATGCTGAAAGAAGACTTTTAACGAAGGGAAAAACCAACAGCAATAACATTCATACCTATGGAGCAGCTATGATTCACTCACATGATATCTTGCTTTTCGTACAGAACTCGCCGATGTACAAAGCGACCATGTAAATACTTTCTCCTCTGATACTCGTGTATCATACATATACGTGGTGGGTCCTTTGCCGGGACTCTCTTCTTACCTGGTAGCTGTCTTGTTTTCTGGGTTATTTCTACCTGAGGCAGAACATGCCCACCGGCTCGAGCCGGTTTTCTGGGCGACGCCGCCCGCCGCGCCCACCAGGGTCGGGGAGGCCGTCTTGTTCTTGCTTTAAGTCAGGAGTCACAAATGACACTTTTTTTTTTTTTCAATTAAGGAAAAAAAACCACAGCTCCACCCTCGTACCCGCCAGGAGCATCTGCATCACCGTTCCCTTCTCTCCTTTGCTGCTGCTAATGACAATATGATGACTTACTCACTATTCGAAAACTATTTTTATGTAATTAATGTATGCTTTCTTGTTTATAAATGCCTGATTTAAAAAGAAAAAAACAGCTTGGCATATTTCTCTATTTCTCTGTGTACCCGTTAGTCCTTTGGCGCCCCTCCCCAAACAGATGACGTCGTAAGATAAAGGACTCCGCTCGCCTGGCCACCCCAGAGCCCCTCCTCTCCAGCACTCCTTGCCCCTCCTCCAGCCACCATCTAGGCCTGAGCCCAGGAAGGGGCGCCTGTCTTCTGGTCGATCAGACCCTGGGGCCTTTCAGTCTCCACTGACCCCAAGTGGACACGGGGCACAAGCGGGCAGGTCCCAGCTGGGGCGCCCTCCATCCCCCTCCCTCAAGGTCACGCCAAGCTGCGGCTCCTCCTTGTACTGTGGGCGTCGGCTGGGGGCCCTCCCTGGCCTGTCCCCCAGGGGGCCTGGAGGCCTCAGCGGGACACAGGGCGGTCCCCGGGTTTGTACCCCACTGTGTCTGTCTAGGGCGTGGGCTTCAGACAGGGCCCCTGAGAGGCCGGGGGGGGGGCCGGCCCGGCCCCGCCCCCCGCCCCCCCCCCCCGTAGACGGCCAGCTCCCTGCAGAGTTGCCCCATGTCTTTAACGGGGAGGGGCCCAGGTGGCATCAGAACCGCAGACCCCAACGTGCTGCCCTGAAGGATGAGCAGAGGGCCACCACCCGCCTGCCCGACTACCTGGGGGCTTCCCCAGGACCACCCCGCCCCTGGTTCTGGGCCCCAGAGTGCCACCTCACTAGGCTTCCTTTGGCCACCCAGGTCCGGCCTCCCAGCCCAGGCCGTGGGGCCTCCCAGGTCACCTGGAGAAAACGCACCCCAGCCTGGGAGGGCTCCCGGGTCCCTACTCCTCCCCCCCCAGCCTTGGGAAGCCCCCCAGACCTGGGCCCAGAAGTGCTCCCCTGGAGCCCCCGGGGAGGGGGGACACGATGGGCTGTAGTGTGGAAGCAGAAGCCCACTCCACCCAGGCCAGGCTGGGGCGGGGGACAGCAGGGCCCAGGAGAAAGCTGCCCCGAGGTCCAGGGTCATGGGGTGCCACCTAGGGTCGGGGAAAGGTCAGGGGAAGGGAGGCAGGCTGGGCCCTAAGCTGTAGCCCCGCCCCCTCCCGCCCGCACATTGGACCCGAGAGCTGTGCCTGGGGCCCTGGGCCCAGTGGCGTGGGTGACAGGCCCACCTGAATGGAGCACAGCCACGGCCCCGATACCCTCTGCCCCCCTCGGTGCAGGTGTCACCTGGGCCTGACTCCTGTCCCTCTCAGGAGTGGCCTTCCACTGAGCTGTAGGGCCATCAGTCAGAATCTGAGGGCCCCCTTCTCCGGGCCGGGCTGGACCCTGGGGCACTGCCCTGCAAGAGATGAGGCAGGCATGGCCCCCAGGGAGCGCTCCTGGCCCACGCACCCAGAGCGGGGAGGAGAGAGGGAGAAAGGCCGGTGGCCAGACGCTGTGTCCACGTTACTGGGCCGTGCGCTCCCTCGTCCACCTGACTGCCGCCTCTGCCTGGACATCCAGGGTGCTGCGCAGCACTACCTTCTGGGGTCTCCTGAGTGGTCAGCCGTCCACTGCGGCCCATCGGGGGTCCTGCAGGCATGGACGCCAGTTGAAGGCAGCTGAGGCCCTGCCACTCCCAATGCTGGACACGGACGTCCTCACGACCTCCACTGAGCCCAGCAGGGTTGGGTGGTGTGACTGGGGGTGACGTCCGGTGTCCAGATCTGCCGCCCCTGCTGCAGGGCATTGTCACCACTGAGTGGGTGCCATGTGCTCCACAGTCTGCACTTGTCCCCAGAGCTGACGTGAGGCCTCGTTCTGGGCTCCGCCTGGCGACGGCCTCTCCTCACCCTCCCCCAGAGCATCTCTGGCCGCCAGCGCCCAGCCCCTCGGCCCCTGGCTCCACCCCGGCTCCCCGCTCCCCGCTCTCGGGCGGTCCACGTTAACACCCATGGTCCTGACGGCCAGGGAAATGGGTGGAGGGAGGTGTTCCCGAGGGAGACTGGGGGCCCTCTGGGGCTGGGGGAGTGCAGTGGGTGTGCAGTCTGGGGGTGTCCTCACGGCCAGCGTGGTGCTCAGCCTGTTGGGGGCCTGGAGCTGGGCCGGTGGCAGCTCCCGGGGGCTCCGGGCTCAGCTGTCTTCCTGCGCTGCCCTGGGCTTCCCTCTGGGTTCACCTCT